TTGTTCTTGAGGTAAGATAATTTGTATTGCCAAATCTTAATGAGAAGAAGTGTTGTGTAGTTGAAAAAAGCCTAATGCATGTTTGTTGTAGTGGAGAAAGTCATGGTCCTTCACTTCATCATACAGGGGCTTTGTTTAGAAAGAAAGAACCACAATGTATGCACTGCTCAAAGATCTTGAATGTGACCGCCAAAGTTTTCCTAGAAGTGGCTGTTCGATTGAATCTTTTAACATGAATGAAGGGCAGATTCATTAAATACAGATAGTCCTTGACTTACGATCACGATTGAGCCCAAACTTTCTGTTGTTAAGTGAGACATTTGTTAAGTGAGTTTTGTTAAGTGAATCTGGCTTCCCTATTGAATTTGCTTGTCAGAAGGTCACAAAAGTTGATCACATGGCCCTGGGATACTGCAACCATCATAAATATGAGTCAGTTGCCAGGCATTTGAATTCTGATCACATGAGCCTGGGGATGCTGCAATGGTCATAAGTGTGAAAAATGGTCATGTCATTTTTTTTCAGCACTGTTGTAATTCAAATGGCTACTAAACAAACTGTTGCAAGTTGAGGACTACCTGTAGAAGAAGGGCAGTGATTATATTGGCTGCTAATAATTTGTAAAATAAGTTAAATCAATTTTCATTTTTTATCATGGCCCTATCCACTTGCACTAAATAAGATCTGACTCTGGATCTGCTGAGTTCTTGCTGCAGAAATGGTCCTTTTGTACTACAACTGAATCTTTCAATAAACACATAAAGCAATTAATCTCAAATGGCATTGCACTGGGGACACATTCTTGCAGAAAATTCAGAATAAAGCTAGATTATGCGTCCTCAAGAGTTTGGAAATACTATTTATGGCTCACATGAAGACAATACTGTAAGAGTGTTAGTGTATTAAAAAAAAATCAAAATAGGGTACAGTTTGAAGGATAAAGCTGAGTAACGAGGGTTTCTTCTTTGTCAGATGCTAGGCTTTTTCTCATTGACCATAACTATAACAACCTCTTTCTGTCATGTTCTGTTAACATTGCCTTTCTCTTATCCCTAGCCCACAACTGAGGCAACTTCTATTTAGTTGTTGTGGTTTTAAAGAAATGCCTTTCCTCTTCTCCTAATACAGTTTTCATCATGAATACTGTTGAGTTTTCGGTTCGCTAGCAATTTACGAAGACGCATGGTGAAAACAACAAGCTCTTTATTTCTCTCTCCTGCAACCAAGCAAGCAGCAAAAGGCACGCAGGCCTTTTATAGTGCCTGAAACCCGAACAGTGTGAACCAATAGGAATTTACCCTTTTCGCGCCTTGTGCATGAACACAAGGCCAGCGCCACTCTGTCTGGTCCTGGGCAGCTTTTGGAATTGCCCGGGACCATTTGCAACATTACTGAGCCTGCTGTCAGCTCTTGCAGGCTCAGGACACAGCAAATACAATCTGGCATGCTTCACTGACCATCTGATGGCTAAGATGATCAGCAGTTGGGATATGCCTATCAATTTAGGTTGTTGCAGGTATACTCCCTCCCATGTGGCTGCTTTGCATTGCTTTCCATGTTTAATTTGGCCTGAGTTGTAGGAAAGGTTGGATACCTGGCAGCTGCAGAAACATTTCCCTGTGCAACAGCTGACAGAGTATTGCCAAGTTTTTTTCATTCCTCCAACAAACATGGTGTGCTCCTTGATCTGTTGTATCGTCATTGGCTTTCCCTGACAATTCAGAGAGGTCAAGATGGAGCAAAAGAAGGTGATCTTTCTTCTCTATTGTTTGCGTTTTTTGCAGCTGAATGTAATTCTGAAAAGTAAAATCTGGACTTCCAGAGGAAGAAGTGGCAGACTGAAGATGGCTCCACCAAAAGTAGAGCCAATGGCCATGGTGGAATGAAGAGTCAGTGAATAGACCGGCTTTTAGAACCTCTCTGGACAAGGGGAGGACTTGAGACAACCCACAACTGTTGTAGACAGCTGCTTCTTGTTTGGAGACCTCAAGATAGTCTCAATCAGGTTTAGAGTTTGGAGAGATGAGGAAATAGCCACCTTGCTCAAATCATGATTGGCATCTTTGAAAGGACACTAGATTTGCATACTTCCTTAACTAATCACTTCTGTGGAGATTGCTTGTTAACAGCTTTTTAGCTATTAGAAACATGTTTAAGAACTTAAACAATATTGAAATAAACAGCAAAAAGGTGATTAAAAACGTTCATTTTTGGAAGTTACAAATGGACTAAAGGTCCAGATAAATTAATTACAAAAAATCCTTCCTATGGGAAAATGCTTTTGTTTTGATTTTTTTGAAAAAAAAACAACCCTCATAAGATGCCATTTTAAAAATTGGACACTAACGGGAACAATTAAAGGAGAAGAACACAAACATGACTTACAATTATAGAATGAAACAAAATATTCTAACATTGGACATATTGAAGAATATTTTTTTTGAAAAATGGAGTGAGAGATTAATATTAATAGTGTCAACAGAGACATCTGCCTCAATTGACAGATTGTGTCTAAAAGATGTTATGGAAGAAGAAGAAGTTAACCTAATAAGATCGAGACTGAACTGAAAGTAGATTTACAAATGACAGATATAAGAATGACATGAAAAAGATATTATGCTAGATAGCAATAGCACTTAGACTTATATATAGCTTCATAGTGTTTTAAAGCCCTCTCTAAGGGGTTTACAATATCAGCATATCACCCCCAATAATCTGGGTCCTCATTTTACTGACCTCGGAAGGATGGAAGGCTGAGTCAACCTTGGGCCCTGTGTGCTGCAGCTGCCAAAAGAGCCAACGCAGTGCATTAACAGAAGGATAAAATCAAGATCATATCAAGATCACACTTGGAATACTGCACCCAGTTTTGGTCACCACGATGTAAAAAAGATGTTGAGACTCTAGAAAGAGTACAGAGAAGAGCAACAAAGATGATCAGGGGATTGGAGGCTAAAACATATAAGGAACGGTTGCTGAAATTGGTTATGTCTAGTTTAATGAAGAGAAGGATGAGTGGGGACATGATAGCAGTGTTCCAATATCTCAGGGGCTGCCACAAAGAAGAGGGAGTCAAGCTATTCTTCAAAGCACCTGACGGCAGGACAAGAAGCAACAGATGGAAACTAACCAAAGAGAAGCAACCTAGAATTAAGGAGAAACTTCCTGACAGAACAATTAACCAGTGGAACAACCTGCCTCCAGAACAGGGGTGTCAAACTGCTAGCTGGCGGGCTGGATGCGTCATGGTGAAACTGCGCCTACCCCATTACTGGCAATGGAAAAAAAGTCGCGATACGTCACGACATATCACGTGACATTGCAAGTTTGACACCCCTGCTCCAGAAGCTGTGAATGAATGAATGCTGTTGTAGAATCAGATGTAAAAATTTAGCATAACTATTCTTGCTGAATATTCTGTATATCAGGATGTGCAGTGTTATCTGTGGGCAGCAAGTGTTATTTTTCCAACTTGTATTCCTTGCAGATGAGGCTTTCAACACTTTCTTTGGTGAAACTATATCTTCTTTCCATTGTGAACTTAATAAAATGAACCTTTATGGGCATAGATAAAATTGCACTTTAATTGTCCCCAGAGAATCATAATTCTGCCAGGATTATAAATCACTAGCAATATTTTCACGCTCCTGGTCTTTTTAAACACCTGGATCCATCATAACTGAAGGCCTATTACCTAAACCAAACTGCTGCAACATGGTGCCCTTGAGAAAAGTTGGACTGAAATTGCCATCTCTTTTTGGCCAGCATGGCCAATCGTACTCTAACTGGGGTTGGCAGCGAATGTATCTAGCACATCTGGAAGAAACCAGGATGGTGAAAGCTCAGATAAGCATTTAAGTGCTAGAATTCTATTTCAGTTATGAGAACAAACCCAAAATAAGTAGAAGACAGAAGAAAACATCCCTCAAACTGGGTCTGATTCTTGGTCAATTAGAAGGGCAACAGGATGGTGGTTTGCTACTCCCTTCTCCTGAAATGCTCTTTTCCCTTTGTAATCCTGGAGTTTCCTGCTTGTCTTCCTTCCAATAATAACTATTTAGTGTTTTTTAAGGTGAGCCAAAGCTAACTATTGTCAACTGCTATGGAAAAAAAAAACCTAGGTCATAAGTGGAAATAATTTATCTTCTAGTCTCAAATAAAATGAGCCAAAATAGCATTATACTCATTAAAAATGCAACAGTCAAAATGAAAATGATGCCAATAACTGTGATAACATCAAATAATGATGCAGGCCATGACACACAAAGGCCACAATTACATATTTGTGTCAATATGTCTGAGGCAGGTATGTAAGTCATGGTATTTGACTGATCATATCATCATCATGCATGTATCATCCCTTGCCCCAGCTTGATTATATCTTGAACCCTATTCAGTGACCTTTTCACAAATACTGTAGATCATTTGGCCCCTCCCCTTCTTTGACTTCTATTGTATTTATTATGCTGTACTTGTCTTTCCCCATATTTGTATATATGAGTCAATCTCTGATGTATAGCTAATGACCTTTTGTCCTGCTGTGGAGAAATGTTACTTCTATTAGAATAGGCAACTGTCATGATATCAATCAAGGTAAGTATTGTTTTGGTGCCTAGGGGGTGCAGTTACATTTCAGAGGGAAAAGTAGACTTAAGAATAATACAAAAGGGCTTGGTTGTGACCATATTTGCTTTTTCTTGAGAATGGGTTTGAAATGGATGTATGATATACAACTTTTTCTTTAAAAAAAAAAGTAGTTCACCTGCTCTAGTCTCTAAACCATACAAAAGTCCATAAATCTTGGTAAGTGATTCCATTTTATACAAACACAAACATCACAAGCAATGCTGACCTTTGTCCATCTCAGCAGAGAAGAGCATAGTGCCTGGCAGGATGAAACGACAAGAAGTAAGCTTTGCTGCCACACACCAGGTCACTTGGGTTCCCTCCAGCGCAAGCTTACATGAACTGCCTTGTTCAAAGCCGAATGTGTGATTAAGGTAGTTAAAAAGATTTAAACCAGATTGTTTTCCCAGAATGAAGTCAGGCTAAATATTGCAACCTGCCTCAAAAGGTTCCACAGTCTCCTCCATCCAGCATAAAAGTTGTAATGAACGCAGTAGTAAACAGACCCTCAGAGGAGCTTTGAAGAAATATATTGGATGTTTTAAGTTAACACCTACATCGAATGTTGCCCCTGTCCCCTTTAGAGGCCAAGAAGTGGAGAGAAGTTGTATACTCCTGGCTTAGGACATTAGCACTTTCTACCACTAGCATGCTTCTAGTGCAGTGGTTCTCAACCTTTTTAATGCCGCGATCCCAACCGGTCGTAAGTCGAGGACTGAACCGGTCGTACGTCGAGGACTAAACCGGTCATAAGTCAAGGACTAAACCGGTCGTAAGTCGAGGACTACCCAACCGGTCGTAAGTCGAGGACTTTCCCTGCCCGGGAGCGCCACGCATGCATGGTTCTGCCCCCTGCGCCGGCCGAGGTGTAGCTGGCAAGCGGCAGAGACGGAGCAGGCCGACCACCAATTGGCCCAGCCCAAGGGAGGTAAGGCACCCGCCGGAAAAGGGGAAAAAAATGGCGGACAAAAAAAATGGCGGACAAAAAGAATGGCGGACAGCCTTGCTTGGCGACCCCCGTGAAATGGTCGATCGACCCCAAATGGGGTCCCGACCCACAGGTTGAGAACCACTGTTCTAGTGAATAGAATGCAGAAAAAGAAATAGATTGTGGATAAAAATATCATTGTGGGAGTGATAATATAGAAAGGTACATTTAGAAAGGTTTTAATCTCTTTTCCCCCTTTTCTGTTCCTTTAAATACATGGCATGCAAGTAATGAGAACATGTTTACAAAAGGCTGTGCTTTTCTACATCTGAAAGTTTTTTTCTTAGCTATTAGCAGAACAGACATCAAGGCTGAGCATAGAGAGATATGTCTGTTGTCTATCTTATACTGCCTGCTAACAGCAGCACTGATAGAGCGAACATTTCAAATGACTGTAATTTGCTGCTTCCCAGCTATCAAATGCACGTATATAGAACAGAAAAAGAGAGAGCCCCTATACTTTCCTTTGCATGAAAAGACTTTTGAAAAAACAGGTTCATAAAGACATTGCTGGCTATTGTGACTGTACAGATCTGAGTTTTTAAAGCACTGAAAATAAAGAACTATTAAAAAAACATTTTAATATCTTTTAATATCTCCAGCAAAGTGAAAGTAGTAACAGCAATAGCAATAGTAATAGCAATAGCACTTCTATACCACTTCGTAGTGTTTTACAGTACAGTCCTCTCTAAGTGGTTTATAGAGTCTGCATATTGCTCCCAACAATCTGGGTCCTCATTTTACTGACCTCGGAAGGATGGAAGGTTGAGTCAACTGTGAGCCCCGTCACGATTAAACTCCAGGCTGTGGGATGAGTCAGCCTGCAATACTGCATCCTAACCACCACATCCCTATGTATTTACCACCAGTAAATAGAAGAAAACTAAGAAAAATCTTTGTTTATGGCCTTTACAGCCATATGAGTTAGGGTAGACAATACTGAACTTGATGGGCTTGGTCTATTATAGTCCTGTGTTTCCCAGATTTTTTTTTTATTGTCAATGTTTTTACTTCTTTTATTTTAGATTCAGGCCTGTCAGCAGATCACAACAATATCCACTAATCCAAAATAACTGCAAACAATTGGAAAAGAATTTAAAAAAAAAAAAGTTGGAATATATTTAGGTAGAAAACCTTATAAGAGAATTCTATTAATTGCCTTATATCCTTATCATTGCTTATTGGAACGTCTGCACTAAGACTCACTCTTGAATTGTAATGACTGGGCAAGGCCTAGAATTGCCTTTTCCGGTCACTAGCCCAGCCTCCCTAGCTTTCATTAAAATAGTGGGAATTGTAGTCTAATATAACTAATATATCTTGAAGCCACCTGTTTGGAGAAAACTTGCCTAAAGGTAAACACAGGTTTAATGTTCCTTCTTGTCCACGCAAGAAAATGTAATTAGCACATTAATATGCCTTCACAATAAAGATGTCATGTTGGAAATCCAAAAGTGTGCATATCCTGGCTATTATTTGGAAATAGCTGCTGGGAACATTTGTAATGACTGATTTCCTTTATTTTCTGTGCAAGTAGTTGCAGATTTATAGGGACTATGCTTGTTGAGTAAGGGATGCCTTGCTTCATTTCCCTTTTTTCCTCTCCTGTCCCCTTAACAGCTGTGTAATGGAGGCTCTGTCACAGACCTTGTCAAAGGCCTACTGAAGAATGCCCAAAAGTTGGATGAAGCAATAATCTCATACATCTTAAGAGGTGCCCTTTTGGTAAGGATACCCATTTTGCTTCTAATGATAAAATAGGATGAAATTTAGCCATTCTGATACACTTTACAGGAAAAAGGGAAAAATGGTGTCTGCTTATTGCAGCAGGGTTTTTTATTGAGGCTGTGATATAGTGAACTGAGGTTCTTAAAGTGCAGGTACAGATTCTTTTCCTGTTAGTTACATTATATAAGTATGTGAGTAAGATCTATTTTTCTCTCTCCTTTTTTCTCATTGCGGACACTTAGGGTCTTCAACATTTGCACAACAATCGCATCATTCATCGTGATGTCAAGGGGAACAACATTCTGCTGACAATGGAAGGAGGAGTCAAGCTTGTGGACTTTGGTAATCCTTCCTTCCTTCCTTCCTTCCTTCCTTCCTTCCTTCCTTCCTTCCTTCCTTCCTTCCTTCCTTCCCACCCCCCAGTTCAGGATATATACTTTCTTTTGTGCATATGAAAAAAGGATATTGCTCTCAATTAGACTTCATCACATTTATTCCCTCTTAGCTGAAAACTAAAATGGTACTCTGAGCCCCAAAACTAACATTTCATTTGAATTTGCAAGTACAGCAGTTATATTTGTGTGTGATTAAAATTGAAAAGCCATTATATAAAGCCATATGAAAGAAGCTGGTGACTTTATTTCCAAGAAAATTTGCTGGTTGTTTTTTTTTTATAAAGTCAAATAATAATAATTGAAAAAAGAATCACAGCTTAAAACCAGTATCACTGTAACAAAAATAAGGCTATCATCTTCTTTCAGTGTCACTTGGGAAGAAGTTGGACTAAACTTAGTGAAAAGGTTAGCCTTCAATTTGAATAAATTTTCACCATCACAATCCATCATAGCTTACTAATTCGCTGGTACCACAAAACCAAATGAACTCAAGAGCAGATGCCACTTGTGACCTGGAGGCCAGAAATTCACTACCAATGTGTACTGCAGCAGGAGGGCCCATTTTTAAGTAGAGCTTGGACAAGCACTTGGACTAAAGCAACAGCTTAATTACTAACTTCTTTAACAGCAAATGGTAAAGGGTAGAAATCACTATTCATCTGATGCCACCTTCCTAGGGCAATAATTAACACTAGCTGCTGGAGTGAGCCGCAGGAAATAGGCATCAATGCCAAAACAAACAATGCTGGTCTGAAAAAAAAAGAGGCTAGAAAGAGAATAACGTTACTATAGTAAGTTTTTTCTGTGTTTTGCACATAATTGCCTTGTTGAATTCCCACAGAGGAATACAAGATCAAAATGAAGCAAGAGTGGGAAGGTATTTGTGAAATTAGCTGTACTTCATTTAGAGAGAGGAGGTATATAAAAGGAGTCATGGGATTGGAAGGGGTTACCGCCTGGTGTGTGTGTATATATGGTATATATTTATAGCACTTCTATAGTACGAATAGTCACTTATTTCCTAAAATGAAATTTGTGTAATTTGCAAAACAAACACTTTGTCAATGCTGCTAACATCAGATGTTTTTGCACTGACAACAGAGGGAAATGTAGCCATCTTTTACCTTTTGCTTTTAGAGTTAGATGATGCTGGGAGGGGGGGGATGTGAATGAGAGTCCAGCTAGACATAACAACACTAAACCTAGTGTGAGAAACAAGGTTATTGTAACCAGAGCTGATAAGGAATTGGCGGGCTGGAGAACGGGAGAGGAGGCCCGCGCTTCACACTAATTGGGGAATGTGATGTATGACTGTTAATTGAAGGAGGGAATTGTGCTTTGATACTATGTGCTCAGGGGAGGGGAATTCAGTTTTTGGCTTCGATTATGCAGTGCCGATATTATGCTACTCAAAATAAAGATTCTTTAAGGTAAACAATACCTTGAAGTTCTTTTGAAGTGTTTCATCTGTCAGAACCATGAAATGCTTAAATTGGAATTAAATGCAATATTCATTGTACAACTTTATTAACACTACCAGTTAAGTCCACATCTAAAACAAGCGGTCTTTTAGATTTCAGTGTGTATGTGTGGAGTGTATAGACAGAGCAAAACTGATACAATCTATTTTCTTCTTATCAGTTTTTGTCAAAGAGAATGTGGGGATTTGTAGTTTGTTGAAAATTCTGAAAGCTTATAGTGCCCTCTTTCAAAACTGATGAAAAGTAGTTGAAGTCTGAGGGGTTTTTTTTTAACCTCATGTACAGTACCTATATAGCCTTACAGAAACGTTTGGAACATGTAATATGATCTTTATTAGTACAAAGCAGAGCACATAGCCATTTTTAAAAAAACCAACTAACCAAGGGTAAATGAGAGAAAATCACTTTCAAATTCCTCCAGTAGAATTTGAAATTGATCTGCCAATCATCTTCACTCTTACTGACCTTGGAATGGTGATAAACCAGCAAGCCAATCATTCCTCTCCTTCAACTGATCAATAGGAATCTGTCAAAAACAGTATCCAATCAACAGTATCTACTAGTGAGACAACTACAGTACACACACTGGATAATTCCCCCCCCCAAAAAAATCCCCTTCAATTTACACAAAAAAGAATAACAGAATAACAAAGTTGGAAGGGACCTTGGAGGTCTTCTAGTCCAACCCCTACTCAAATAGGAGACACTAGACAAATGGTTGTCCAGTCCCTTCTTAAAAGCCTCCAGTTGGGGCACCCACAACTTCTGAAGACAAATTGTTCCACTGGTTGATTGTTCTTACTGTCAGGAAATTTCTCCTTAGTTCTAGGTTGCTTCTCTCTTTGTTCCATCCATTGCTTCTTGTCTTGCCGTCAGGTGCTTTGGAAAATAGTTTGACCCCCTCCTCTTCTTTAAGGCAGCCCTTCAAATATTGGAACATTGCTATCATGTTACCCCTAGTTCTTCTTTTCATTAAACTGGACATATGCAATTCCTGCAACTGTTCTTCATATGTTTTAGCCTTCAGCCCCCCAATCATCTTTGCCACTCCTCTCTGTACTCTTTCCAGATTCTCAACATCTTTTTTATATTGTGATGACCAAAGTACTGAAAGGAAATGAAAGACACAGCTTTTCAGTAAAATTAGGATGAAGCTGCCTGATTATCAATATCAAGCCATCGCTCCTCCTGTAATGAAGATCCCTTTGAAAGTTGTTAAGGAGACATGATATGTCATCAGTTTTGTAGCTAAGCACTAGGTTGTTCCTGCATTAGGATCTTAAATGGAAGTGAGAAGTCTAACTTTTTTTAGGCTACTTTTTAGGCTACAAGGACCTGAATGCATTGCAAGGACATTTGCACAATCCCGCTGTTATCTAATTCACTGCAGTAACCGGGTCGTCTCATCCCCGACTTCAAACAAAAGAGAAAGAAAAAAGATTTAAAAATCCAAGCAGCCTGCAGCAAATCTTTGCCTAAGAGAAGAGGGTAAGGCAAGTGAATAACTCTTGGCTAGATCAAGGCAACATCCCATGGGAAAGACTTGGTAAAAAGGCTGAAACTCAGGAGCCTGGAGAAGCAGTGAGCAAGAACTTCAGTAGAGCTGCTAACCAAGTACAAGGTCTGCAGGGATTTATTTCACAAAGAAAAGAATATGCTGCTGTGGGTTTCCCCACCCCCCAATTTGGGCTTCACTGAAGCTGAGCCAGAAATAAATTTGGCTCAGCCACTGAACTGAGTCAATGTCACAGGATCATAAAAGCCTGGGGTTGCTTTTGAACTATTGCAGAATCTTCACATGGAAGATGTGTGAGAATTACAGAAAATATAAACATTCAAATAACCATTCTATAAATGGTTGCCACATCACCTACATTCTCTCAATTATTGCTTTTTAAAGGATGAATCTCTAGACCTTCCCCAATTTCCTGGGGAAGACTGTGATCTCCACAATTGCAATACAGGTAGTTCTCGACTTACGACCACAGTTGAGTGCAAAATTTCTGTTGCTAAGTAAGACATTTGTTAATTGCCCCATTTTACAACCTTTCTTGCCACTGTTGTTAAGTGAATCATTGCAGTTGTTGAATTAGTAACAACTAACTTGTTGTTGTTGTTGTTAAGTGAATCTGGCTTCCCCATTGACTTCACTTGTCAGAAGGTTACAAAAGATGATCACATGACCCTGGGACACTGCAGCCATCATAAATATGAGTCAGTTGCCAAGCATCTGAATTTTGATCATATGACCACAGGGATGCTGCAACGGTCATAAGTGTGAAAAACGGTCAGAGGTTATTTTTTCCAGTGCCATTGTAACTTTGAACCATCACTAAATGAACTGTTGTAAGTTGAGGACTACTTGTACTCTGCTGATACCAAATATCCAAAGTGCAGGATGTGAACAGAATAATAAGAAGGCTGCAACAAGAACTTCAATTGGGTTCCTTAAGTAAAGGATTATCTTGAGCTACATGGGATTCTTTTAAATTGTTCAGGCTGCAGAATCTGTTATGAAAGTTTCGTGCACAGCTTTAGTGATAAAAAAAATTGGCTGTGTTCCACATAATTATTTCTTTCTTTCTTTTGCCCTTATTTCCTCCCAGAATTCTTCTGCCTTAAGTAATTCTTAAACTATGTAGCAGCAGGCCAGCTCCAAAAACATTTAAGTTAAACTTGCTTAGCTTGCAAATTCTCCCCCACTTAGTAGGAAAACATGCAACTCTATTGACATCGATTTTTCTCTCAGGCATTGTATGGAAAGGTAAATGAGCTAGCCAGCAAATGTTCAGAATGTCTTTTCTTATTACAGGTGTTTCTGCACAGCTCACCAGTACCAGGCTGAGGAGAAACACTTCAGTTGGGACACCATTTTGGATGGCTCCTGAGGTAGGTTACAGCTATAATGTGCTGCGTGGGTTGCATATCTTATTTTTTCAGCCCTGCCAGATGTGCTGACCTAATTCTCTAAATCAGTGTTTTGTTTTTAAATTTGGCAATCTTAAAATCTGTGGATTTCAACCCCCAGAATTTTTCAGCCAGGGAAATCTTAAAGTTACCTGTTCTAAATCCTTTGATGATTAGCATTAGCAAGAGAAATAAAAATTTAGGACTTTCCTCAATAAATTGTACCAAAAATGGATATGGAATAAATCTAGCTGTTTGCAAAATTGTGGTTTTGAAGCGAATCTAGTTTGTCTCTTGATAGATAGATAGATAGATAGATAGATAGATAGATAGATAGATAGATAGATAGATAGATAGATAGATAGATAGATAGATAGATAGATAGATAGATAGATAGATAGAATTTATGGCTGCCTGTAATCCATAGTGATTTTATTCAGTTTTTAAGTATATGTTGTTCAGACTGAGGAACATGTTGTATGTTATCATTTTTCTACTTTGTCTTCATTTAATAATGAAATTGGACTTTCAAAGGTGGTGATACCCATAACAGGGCTACTGATAAAGAAAAGTGAGGGCAGACTTTCACATTTAAAAATAGGTAGGCCTAAGAGGACAGAAGCTTAGAGAGGCATACCAAATGTATTTGGTAGAAATAGAATAAATATCAGATGAAAAAAAGAAAAAAGAAAAGTAGAAGTTGGAAAAGTGGAGTGGAGAGAATAGTTGATTTGTGAAGGAAAGATCCAAAGAGCACTTGAAAAATGAACAGAGTGTTGCTATGACATGAAGCTTTTGAGGATCTCGTGTGTTATTAATCCTGCTTATTAATGATTCAGCTTGTGCAATTCTTTTCCCAATGCTTGATTTATCACACTTTTCAGTTCAAACTTGTAAAACACAACCAACAGGATATGTGGTATTTTTCCGACCCCAGGACTGATGCTTGTTTTATCCTAGGGAGAAAAATGGCTGACTGGAGATTTACATCCACTTAGCCTCCTCAGTTACTAAACCTACTTTATTATTTGAGCCTGCTTTTTGTCTAGAAATAGAAGGGAAGGTTGAGGAATGCCCCCTAATAACTGCAGAAAGTCTTTTACTTGGTCATTAAAAATCGTATTTTAAACAGGGATGTGTAATCTTTTCTTCATAAAAACAACAAATCTGTGGGTCTGTAAAGCACTAAATAATTTATTGGAAATTGGATAATCTAAGGCTCTGGACTGCATATGACTTGAACCCTTGTTGGGTCCAGCCTCCAGATCACAGTACTGAGAAGCAGTGATGTTGTTTGGATGCGGGGGCAGTGTAGACTCTAAAATAGGATCATCAGTAGGAAAAAAGGGGAGAAAGCACACTTCTCACACACCTCCAAGAAAACCGCCCACAAAATCCTGCCATTGCTTGCTCTCTGCAACTACCCAAGGAGTGGTAAGTGAGGTTCCAACCACCAAAAAGTTGTCCTCTTCTGCAGATTGTACTGTAAACAGATTGTATTGTAATATCCCTTTAAAACAAAAGTGTCTCTACCAAAGAAAAACAAAATTTGAGAGCTAGCCCGTGTTGGAGACAATGTGCTGAATTAGATGTGGGGAGACCTAGTTTCTAGTCTTTCTTTAGGCACAGAAGCCATCTGGGTGACTTTAGGCCAGTCACTTTCTTTCAGCCCTAATCATCATCAGGCTCTGGGACAAGCGAGAACAACCTCTCCCCTGCCCTTGCTGCATCATGCATTGGTAAGTTTTACTGTAAGAATTAGACAAGTACAGTGCAGAACAAGCAAGCCCTGCAAAGGGTCAAGACAAATGCTAAGAAGATCAACTAAAAAGCCCCTCACGGTATGATTTTTAGTGAGCTGAGAGTCCTGCTATAAAAGCCAACATATTGTAATTATAACAGATTTCCATTCATGGTCTCTAAATGATAACATGAAATATCAAATGTATATTTCACATACTTCTATTCACTGAGCACCTTTAATTAATGTGTTTTAAAGTATATTTGAATAAGAAAAGCTAGCTCTTGACAGAAATGACAAAACTATGAAATTGCAAATAGAAAGGTCACTCTTAATATTTAAAATGATCTGGCAATAAACATTGCACAGGATTTATTTGGGGGGGGGAATGCCTGCTCGGCACAGAGCTGCCTTTCCCCCTCAGCATCTCTTATTCACTGCTCAGTGGCCCTGAACACGGGGTTGAAGGTCAGCCCTAAGTTAATAGCTTTAGGTTTCTTTACTCCCTATTTAGGTAACATTTGTTCTCTTACTGGGATGGTTATTTCATTCTATGCTGCAATGCCATTTAAATGAGAGGTAGAGTCTGTTCAGTTACAGGAAAATAACATCAGTGTTTCTCAACCTTGGAGACTTTAAAACACACGTTGGCTGGGGAATTCTGGGAGTTGAAGTCCACATGTCTTAAAAATAGCCAAAGTTGAGAAACACTGATATTATTCAGAGAAAAATCAGGATGTAGAATAAAGTTTAATTTTCAATGTCTCAAAGGCATTTGAGAGCTCTTTTGATATAACTATATTTTTATAGTTGTGGCCAAATTTTAGTGGATCAAGACTAGAGGTTACAGCAATGAAAAAAAAGATGGATGTGTGACTTTACGTGTGTGTTTATATACAGTACATGCTTATTGATACAGGATATATTTTTGCTTTTTTAATAAGCTTTTTTTCAAATGCAATTATATTAAATTGTAGTACTAGCACTACATAACTTAGGAACTGTGTTGCCTAAGCAGTTAAGAATAATTGCTGAAGTATTCTCAAATATATGAATATTTAATGTTACATATTATTTAAGTGCTTTAAGTTTCTAAGTAGGTTTAGGAAGAATGCAAAATGTGGGAATAAATATAGTTAATTTACTTTTTACTTTTATATGCTGTATTGCTTTTCCATGAACAATAGCATTCAAATAAATAAGCGTACAATATAAAAGATGTAGTTAAAATACAGAACAACATTAAAACATAAAACTAAAGATAGCACAACTAAATTAAAAAGAAAAAAGAAACAGCATGTGCAGGTTAAATCAGCTCATAATGAAAAAAAAACCCTCTATCTGAATAAAATGGTCTTTGCCAGCTTCAGAAGGGTATCTTAGATCAGTGGTTCTCAACCTGTGGGTCGGGACCCCATTTGGGGTCGATCGACCATTTCATGGGGGTCGCCAAGCAAGGCTGTCCGCCATTTTTTTTGTCCGCCATTTTCCCCCCTTTTCCAGCGGGTGCCTTACCTCCCTTGGGCTGGGCCAGCTGGTGGTCGGCCTGCTCCGTCTCTGCCGCTTGCCAGCTACACCTCGGCTGGTGCAGGGGGTGGAACCACGCATGCGCGGCGCTCCCAGGCAAGGAAAGTCCTCGACTTACGACCGGTTGGGTAGTCCTCGACTTACGACCGGTTGGGGTCGTGGCATTAAAAAGGTTGAGAACCACTGTCTTAGATAGATTTAACTTGGCCTCAGTTATAAGTAAACTTCAGAGATCAATAATGAAAATTGAAAAATCATCTTTCATAATGCCAATATGTATGTGTCCTATAGTGGCAAATTACAAAGAAGATTGTTAAGTATCAGGAGACTTGTGTGATTTATTATTACGTACCCAACAATGTGAAATCATAGCTGCCAATACTTTAGCTGGGGTTAGCCTTCATCCATACTGAGTTCTTCCGAAGAACCTAGGGCAGGGGTAGGCAACCTTGGCTCTTTTATGACTCGTGGACTTCAACTCCCAGAATTCCTGAGCCAGCATGCTGTGGATGTAGTATAATTACATTTCAGTAAGGCATTTGATAAAGTAGACCACAACCTACTCCTTAGTAAGCTAGAAAAAGGTGGAATGGACAACATCACCACCAGATGGATCTGTAGCTGGCTGGCAAACTGTACTCAGTGAGTAGTTCTCAATGGCACTACATCCACATGGAGAGAAGTAAGCAGTGGGGTACCACAAGGCTCAGTACTCTTCAATATCTTCTTCAATGACTTAGATGAACTTGAACAATGGGCTCTATCCAACAAAATGAGTTTCAATGTGGAGAAAAGCAAAGTTTGGGGCAGGAAAAATCAAAGGTACAAGTACAGATTAGATGAGACCTGGCTTAAAAACAGTAACTGTGAGAGGGACCTTGGAGTCCTAGTGTACGATCACTTGACTATGAGCCAGCAGTGTGCAGCAGCAGCCAAAAAAGCCAATACAATCCTGGGTTGTATAAACAGAGGCATAGAATCAAGATCACGCAAAGTATTAGTACCGCTTTATACAACCCCAGTAAGACCACATGTGGAATACTGCAGCCAATTTTGGTCACCATATCTCAAAAAAGATGTTGAGAGTTTGGGAAAAAATCAGAGAAGAACAACTAAGATGATTAAAGGCCTGGAGACTAAAACATATGAAGAACGGTTGCAGGACTTGGGTTTGGCTAATCTAAAGAAAAGAAGAAATAGGGGAGACATGATAGCAGTATTTGAGGGGCTGCCACAAAGAAGAGGGGGTCACATTATTCTCCAAAGCATCAGAGGGCAAGACAAGAAACAATGGTTGGAAACTGATCAAAGAGAGAAGCAACCTGGAATTAAGGAGAAACTTCCTGACAATGAGGACAATCAACCAGTGGAACAGCTTGCCTTCAGAAATCGTGAGCGGTCCATCACTGGAGGTTTTTAAGAAGAAGCTGGACAGTCACTTGTCTGAGATGGTATTAGGTTCTCCTGCTTGAGCAGAGGGTTGGACTAGAAGACCTCTATTTTGCTCCAGATATTTTGGAATTTCAACCAAGGCTCACCAACATTGCCAGCAGCGTTTGGTCTCCAACTCTTGCTCACAGGCTCAATCTTCTACCTTAGAGTGCTGACAGAGAGTGACTCAAATTTTCTAAGCTTGAGTATGGACTTGATCCTGGTTCTCTTCAATCCTCTTTATCATCTTAACCACTACATTGGGTCAGACTCAATGAATCTG